AGATGGAAGCTCCCGGCACTGGCCCGCTGAGGTGGGTGGCCACCACGTGGTCGGCATCTGGGCGCCATCCACAGTTGTGGCAAACCCAGCTGGGTGCCTCCCTCCCTTGGGCATCCCTATGCTGCTGCGAGTGGGACCTCGCCACGCAGCCAGACTCCGGGCAGCTCAGCCTCTTGGGCACCAGGCCCTGGGCTGGGAGATCCTCAAACCACTATCACGCACCCCAGTCACAGTAAAGGAAACTGAGGTGCAGGAGGCGAGAGGTTTGCCTGAGGCCACCCAGCTGGTAGGGGGCAGAGCCAGGGTTCCTGTCTCCTGGCTCCAGGGTCCATACTCTCCCTCCTAGACCACCGCTGTCAGTCACGTGGCAGAGCTGGCAGGGCCCCCAGGCCTGGGTGGGCCACCGACCATGGGACCTGGGCAGACCTGCCACTGGGTGCCAGGAGCATTGGGAGGAGATGGAAGGTATCTCAGGGGCCCGGGCCACAGTACAGTGAGCCCCGTGGGAGGGTGTTTACCTAAGGGGGAATCAAGTAAGAAGAGCATAGCCTGGGCCTCCCGGTCCACCGACGCCCCATCTTGCCTCCCTGGCAGCCTGCACCAAGGTCCCGGCTGGGGTAAAAGGACTGACAGTGAGCAGCCCGGCCAGAGCCATGCGCTAGCCCTGCCTCTGCCGCTTCCCAGCGGTGGCCTTGCCACGCGGGCTGTGCTCTCAGCCACCTCCCGACAGCAGCATCGTGACTGCAAATCAATAATCCAGGCAAGGCACATCTTGGGGCCCGGCACCTTGTCAGTCTTGGTTTTGTTATCATCGCTTGATTCTTGGTGCCTTTTTTTTTTCAGCTATGAAATGTCCTCCCCAGGGTTTTTGTGTGGGTTGAACAAGACCTTTGCTCCCGCCTGCCTTCTTCAGCAAATGTTTACTAAGCTGCTCCCGCATGCTCTGTCCCAGCCCCTGGGCACTGAGCTCATGGAGAAAGACATGCTTCCTACTGGGACAGGCTTTAAGTCCGGCGGGGGATCCAACACCAAACACAGGAATGACCCAAGTTACTCTCCGGACGCCGTCAGGGGTGGCGAGTGCCGACGGCGTGCAGGGCTTAGCGCCGCGCCTGGCCCGCTCAAGTGGAGGTGGCCTTCCTTAGGGTTTCACTACACTTCAGGCGTTCAAACATTTCCAGTTACGGGCTAATAACAGCACTGCATTCATTGTAGATTTGCTGTTTGGGGGGCAATTTTTGTTGTGGGAGTGCAAGGCTGTTTATTTGGAGGTTCTGCACCCGAGGTTCTCCCCAGGCTTGCCAGGGCCGGGTGACCTGGGAAGAACCTCAGTGCGTCACGGCCTTGGCCCCTACTCTCAGGTCCTGGAGACTAGGCAGGTGTCAGCACCAGCGTGTTTTGTAGAGGGGGGTGATGAACACTCAGTATGAAGGAGTGAGGTACCCTACCCCAGCGTGCAAGTGGGGGCTGCAAGTAGCCAGATAATCCTTCAAGAATAAAATTTTTTGAACCCCTGACTTTTGCAGAATTCCCACTATCAAATTGTCACTGACATGTGGTATGAGAAAGGGTATCATTTGCTTGAATTCTGACGGAAGAGTTTAACTCCATTCAAATGATGTGCAAAAGGGCCTCCCCGGTGGCGCAGCGGTTGAGCGCTGGGTTGCGAAGCTGCCCGCAGCCTCCGCAACGCTGGTTCGATCCCCGGCTGCTCCCTGGCCGCCGGGCGAAGGTCCCACATGGCGCACAGACCTCTCCTGCCGCCCGCTGCTCCCCTCAGCAGTGTACTTCGGTCCTTCTGCCTGCTCTGCTCCCCACTCTGGCTCTGGTGAATTCTCTCACCCTCCCGCGCTTCTGACTGTACCCAGTGCTTGTATAAATAAATAAATAAAAATAAATCTTTAAAAAAAAAAAAACAAATGATGTGCAAAAGTCATTAAAAAGTATGACGTGTACACCTTCAAAAGCTCTCAGTTATCTGGACTGAGGCTTTATTCTTACTGTGGCCATATGAATGGGAATGCTCTGTACAGGAATCCTACTAGATTGTAAATCGCTTAGATATTAATGCTGTGTGTACAGCTTTTTATTTGGGAAATTTTTCTTTTGGCTTAACTAAATCTTATAAATTAAAAAAAAAAAGTGGAAATGGGGTGCTGCCCTCTTTGAAGGCAAACTTCCCCAGCCATCTGCAGAGCCAGGATTCTAAGAGGGAACAGAGGGGCTGGCACCAGTCCAAGGGCGGCCTCGGGCAAGTCCTTCCATCTAGAGGGTTGCGGAAAAACAACTGCCTGTGTGTTTCTGATGGTCAGACACTGCTGGAGCCAGAAAACCCTGAGTTCAAATCCTCTGTGAGCTTTAGTTTCCTCCTTAAGCCTCAGGGAGTCAATAGGATGATGACACGGGGTAAGGAGGGTAGGTTCCCATCTTGCATGAGTTCAGTCCTCCAGAAGCAGCAGTTCAGTCCTCTCCCTTCTACATTCTCTCCAGCATCTGACCTTGGACTTAGCTCCAAGGCACTGGGTTCATGTCCCCACAGTTTGCATCTGGAACAAAGTTGCCTCATGCCCCTTATCCCGTCACCTCATGCTCAGTGCTAGAGGATGCTTGTGGTAGTTGAAACAGTAATGGGATTTTCAGGATTGCCTTTGCTGAATCCTTGGGGAGGTAACTGAGATAGATTTTAAGAGGGGAGAGGAAAAAACAAGGTAAAGAGAAAGAATAAATCTGTGGATTTTGACCTACCAAACTTGGAGCTTCTATACAAGGAAAATTATTTCTAATTATTAAAGTTTTGGAACCATGGTGTCTGTAGAAAGAAAGGAAGTGGAAATGGTTCCTATGAGAAGTGCTAGCATATGTTTCTGTGATTTAATGGTTTCCCGTAACAATGTGGAGCTATTTTAAAAGCAGACGAATGACTCATGGTATCCAGCATCGGCGGTCCACTGTTATGGCAGGAAGCATGTCCCCTGGGGAGGCAGGCGTGGGTTCGACGCCATCATTTACCAGCTCTGAACTGGAGCGAGTTATACTCCTCTGTGAGTTTCCTTTTCCTCTGCTATGAAATGGGCTGTTGTAAAGATAAACAACATAACATAATGAATGTGTGACTCAGTGGAGTGCTCATCCATCCCTGCAAAACCCTGCAACTCTTATATAAGTACCCAGTTAATTACATTTGTAGTAATTCTCAGTAGTTTAATAGTAAACTTTAAGGCTATAAATTTTCCTCTAATTACCACTTTGACTAGATCCCAGAAATTTTTATAGGTTTTGTACTTATTGTCATTGTCTTCAAATAGATTTTTTTAAAGATTTATTTATTTATGCATACAAGAGCTGGGGTACAGGCCAGAGGCAAGGGGGAGGGGGGTGAGAGGATTCACCAGAGACAGAGTGGGGAACAAAACAGGCAGACTGACAGAAATCCACTGCTGAGGGGAGCAGCAGGCGAGTCAGGAGAGGTCTACTGTGCCATGTGGGTTGCTCCCTGGCTGGCTGGGAATCGAACCCGTGCTGCAGTAGCTGCGGTCAGCCTCATAGGTTGTGTCTTAACCCTTGTGCCACCAGGGAGGCCCCAAACAGATTTTTTTTTTTTAGATTTTTTTGATTTTTTTTTTTTTTTGACCTGAGCTTATGAGCATGTGTATGTATCTGTGTGTGTACTCGTGCATGTGTGTGTGTGAGCACATGCACTTGTCTTCCAAATGGTTAGAATTTTTTCTATATTTGTTAAATCATAGATAAGATAAAGTCAAAGAATGTAGGTAATGTGCCATTTACTTTTTAGAATTTATTAATCTTTATAGTCGAGACTGTATAGAATCCACGTTTGTAGGTGTTTCATAGATATTTGAAAAACTATCTTCAGTCATATAAAACCAAGTTTGTTAATTCTGATACTCAAACACTATATTCCTATATGCACACAGACGTGTATGTACATACATGTACATTCTAGCAGAGATTTGCTAGAAACTCCTATGATTGTAGCTTTGTTTAATTCCCTTTTCATTTCTTGAGCTTTATGTTTTCTATGCAATGCTGCTTCACACATAGAAATTTGTAATCATTACGCCTTCTCAGTTGACTGTGCTTATTTTTAATACCAGTTGCTCCTCTGTGCCTTGTTCACTGCTTTCTGCCTTGCATTCTGCTGTACCTCACTGCTGCTGCTCAACCCCAGCTGTGTCCTGGATGTAGAAGCTGTGCTCACATAGCACTGCTGGAAGGACGTGCTGCCTTTTGTCCATCCACAGCTCCACAGAGTCCTACGTGCAGTCCTGCAGCAGCCCAGCAGTCAGTCCTCTTCTCCCATCCCTGGCCAGGTCCCTTGACCCAGACTGGGTGATGCCATGAGGCCCTGTGGTGATGGGCCCTGTGGTGCTCCTCACTGGCTATCATGGCAGTGTTTTTCTCTCCCCTGTCATTTTCTCAGTAAGTTCCTTCAAGAGGGTTCTCTCTCTAACCTCTTGGACCAAGGACTATTGCTTTTATGATTTCTTCTTTTGACCCTTTGTTAACTTATGACTCTGGTGGGCATGTGTGAGTATGGGTGTGTGTATGTACAGATAGAATGGCAAATAGATACACAGCTGAATGAATAAATAAAAAACTGTATTCCACCTAAAAGGGTGTTCTCTTGGACATGACTCCTCAGACTTATTAAAATTCATCAGTTGGTGAAAAATACAGGTATTCATCCTTTTCATGTCCTGTTATTTTCCATTTGGGTTACAGGTAGAAACTCTTGTTGCTGGAGAGTGTCTGAATCAGAAATGCTGAAAATTTGCAAGTGTTCATCTGATTATTATTCTGGTGTTTGATTATCGTTGTGCAATCTGTGAAAAATGAATAGTCAGAATTGGAATTGAAGTTAATGTAGTAGCTCCATTCCCCCAAGTCACCCTTTATACCCAGAGCAGTGCCGTTGTCTGCTGTCTTGTCCTGATTAATGGTAAGTGCCAACCATTATTAAGTGCCTTCTTTAATTTTAGGGATCTATCTTCTGGATTTAATCTACATTGATTCTGCATACCCTGCCTCAGGCAGCATCATGGAAAATGAACAACGATCCAATCAGATGAACAATATTCTCCGAATAATTGCTGATTTACAAGTTTCCTGCAGCTATGGTTAGTACCCTTGGTTGTTGGAATTGTGAAATCTCACATCACTGAAATTTGGATCAGCAACTTATCAGTGAGAAAGCTCTAGCAACCGGTAGTCCCCACAGAGCTCTTCATTTTACTATCTTAAACATCAAACGTGCTGGATCCTTGACACAGCTTTGATCTACAAAGACTGTGCAAAATAAATGTTATCATTCCCATGTCACAGATAAGGAAACTGAGGCTAAAAACCATCAGTCACTTGTCTAAGATTACACTTTCCCATTTCAGAGACAAGAACACAGGCTCCAGAGAAACGAAATGTCCCGCCCAGAATCTGTATGTAGTTGGGGGACAGGGCCGCCATGGGCTTCTCCCAGTGCCCCATGCACCTCCCAAAGCCCGGAGCTTCCCACCCTCTCCTGCTTCTCTTCGAAACCTCCTAGCACCTTTGCTTTCCCCTCCGCCCAGGTCTTCCTGTCCCCTTGGGAGAATAGCAGGAAAGATTTGGTGGCCTTCAGCCCCGCCAGGAGGAGTGCAGTGATCAGGAGGGTCTGAGGAGAGCAGCTGGTGTCACTTCAGGAAAGAGGTGACCTGGCACTGACATCCTCAGTGAGTCATCTTTGCAGGTAGCCTCAGGTTCTTCCTCTGTGTTGTGGGCATATTATTTCCCCCAAATGAGGAAGATGAAGCTTATAGGCAATGACTCCTAGAAAGGGCCTGGGACAGAACCTGGCACAGATCAGGTGCCCCAGCCCCTGGGCCCTGCCCTCTCTTCTCAGGTTGCAGCAGCTCCAGCCCAGGGGCCAGGTTCTCAGGGTGCCAGGATCTGGACTTTGTTCATTCCTGGGGGTGGGCAGGTATGGGAGGCCTGCCCGGTCACCCCACTGAAAGCCAGTTTTAGGGCAGGGACAACCTGGCTCAGGTTTGTTCTGGAAGCCCTCTTTCCCCAGCCAAGAAACTGTGGGGGCCTCTGGGTGTGGGGTATGTGGCTCAGCCCTCAAGGAGGTACTTACTGAGAACAGATGCCAGGCCTAATGACACCTGTGGGCCTAGCACCCAGCATGGGGCCTGGCCCAAGGCACCATCCGCAACTGTGTGGAGTCTGAATGTGTGTCTCAGTCTCTAAGGCGCGTCTAGGCTGAAATCAGCAATTCCTGCCCTTCTCATTTGGGCCCTGGAGATGGGCGAGACTGACCCCTCTGGTGCTGTTCCCCTTTTGCAGATCACCTCACAACCCTGCCCCACGTGCAGAAGTACCTGAAGTCTGTTCGCTACATCGAAGAGCTGCAGAAGTTTGTGGAAGATGACAACTACAAGTAAGTGGCACATGCCTGTCGTGTTGGTCAGGCCACCCGCCAGCCGTTGCCCTCAGCACTCAGCCCCCTGCCGGTGGCCCAGCGCTCGCTGCGGCCAGTGAGTGGCCACCTGTGAGACTAACAGAAGTCACCACGGCACCACCTGTGCCCCCAGATCCATGAGGACATGCACATAATGTGACTTCTGACCCCACAGACCCCACAGGGGATTTGGACCCCTGTGTGGTGCAGGCTCAGTGCTCCAGGGTCTCACGAGTGACTCCCCGACTCGTCGTACAGGCAGAGGGGTTAGCCTCCCGGCCGCATCTCCAGGCCACCGGAGGGGCTTCTCCAGGCGCTCCCTGGGGTCCCAGCTCTCTGCAGGACTCCAGTGTTGGGCACTGGCGAGACCTCTCTCCCTCTCATGTGGTCCCTGGGGAGCAGACCCAGCTCCCACGAAGGCCCCGTGCCCCTTTGGCCTCATTTCCAGTCACCCTGCTCTGGATTTCAGTTCTTTCTTCACTTGTGCCACCTGGGAATTTAGCCAGCATCTTGATGTGTTTTAGAGGGAGGAGGATTTGCTGCTTTGGCTACCATGTTGGGGCGTCCTCTTAGCTCAGGTGGAGCTTGAAGTCAACTAAGCGCCCTAGTTCTTGCCCATATGCCCTGATCCATCGGGGCACGTCTCAGCCATCTTGTAGCTGATGATCTGGCCCACAAGTGAGCTGTACACGTGTTCTTTTCAGTCTCACTTTACTGGGCTATCTCTGCACGTTAGCGCGTGTCTTCTATACGCATAACGTGTGCTAGTCTACTCTTGTCTCTGGGGACTCTTGTCTCTTGTCACTGGGTTCACCTTCTCCCCTTCATGGACCATCAAGCTGCTCTCAGTCCAGTCTAGAAAGAAATCACTGAAGAGTGAGTGAGTGTGTGTGCACGCACCTGTGTGGTGCTCATGTGTGCCTGTGTGTGAGAGACGAGGGTCAGCTGACAGCTTAGATTCTGATTTCATCACGAAGCCAAGTGGAGGTTTTTTTTCTTAGTGATTTCTTGGCTAGTTTTCCACCCTTCTTGCCTTCAGGAGGTCAGATAATGGGAAGTGGACCCAGCAGGTCCTACTGGCTATTCCCCACGTAACAAACAAAAAGGCGACACTGACAGACCTCACCTTAGTGGTTGTTTCCAGTATACCGTGATTCCTTTGAATCGCACTAGCCAATATATTTTGTAAATCTCTTCCAGTTTTTGTCCCTGAAAATTTGATCAGCTTGGTTACTTGGTCTTCATCTGAGTCACTGAAAACTGTAGAGAACTGTGGCCACTGGAGACACCCTCTGGCTCCTGTGACCCACTCTCCAGGGCCTTGGGAATAGAAAACTGCTCCCCATAGGCCAGCTCCACAGTGGAGGGCCCCAACCCTGCTGTAAGGTGGTCATGGGGTTCCTCCTGCCCCTGCAGATGTGGCGGGGGGCCTGGAGAGCTGTCCTGCTGCCTTGCTCCTAGATGGGGGCCACCTTTGGGATCACAGGCCTCCTGCCATTTGTTGTTATCACGAGATAATTGGTTACACTGGAATATAATATGAAAACTTGATCTATTACATAATAGTAACAACAATAGATGAAGGCGGGAGATTACCATTAAAATGAAGTTTGCCAAATTGAGCTCATTTCACTTACGAGGCATTTGCAGTTCCTGAAAAGAGTGGCCCAGAGTGTGAAATTATCCCCACTTAGGTCCTGGGATAATATTTTCCATCCATGTGTCAGTATTGAGATTAAGAGACAGTGGTTTTTCATTAACACTAATATCCTTTAAGGACAAGAAATGGCCTATAAATACTTCTGACCATGAGCTAATCCTTGGATAAGCTGCCGAGCATGAGTAATTACTCCGCCATGAAGGACATCGAACAGTCCCAGCTCTTGATGCTGAACAACAGGCAGCCTGGGGTTCACAAAGGCCCTTTGTGGTGGTCCAAGTGGACAAACCCGGGGGACGTCTGCAGTCTCACCCCTGGGCCTGGAACACCCTTTCCCTCCCTTCCCAGGAGGCCCTGGCACCAAGTGGCCGGAGATGCCCCAGCTGTGAGTGCCCCAGGAACCCCACCCTGGGGCCCCAGCCCACACCAGAGCCTTCTTGCTCCATATCAGAGGGCGCAGTGACTTAGCTAGAACCGTGGTGATAATTCCTTCTGATGCTTGCCCTCCCTCCCCATGCTCTGGGGGTGCTGCACCAGGGCCTGACCGGTGCTTGCTGAGCCCAGTCTTTGATGGGTTTTACAAGTTCACAGCATCTAGAAAGCACGGCCAATAGCATCAAAGGAGCATGAGTCTCTACACGGGAGTGCATGTGTGCACAGAGCAGGGTGGTAAGCGTGGGGAAGGATGGAAAAAGCAGGTCATACTACACTTGATATTTTTAATTATTCACTTTGATTTTATTTCAACTTATCCAGAAAAAGGAACTGATATAAAATACAAGGAGCTGCCGCTCTTCAGAGACAGCGTTTCCTGAAAGGGCCTCCTGAGACTGATGCAAGAGGCCAGGAAAAGCACAGATAGGTGTGATCTAGGTTTCCACCGTGAACTGCAGAGCTGACTGCTCTGCCCTCCCTGCAAGTTCACATCACACCCAGCAGCCAGTCCCCCAACTCATCCCCTCTGCTACACCAAAGCCAGCTGACCTGGGGGACATCTTTCTTTCAGGCTGTCGCTCAGGATTGAACCGGGAAGCAGCTCTCCGAGACTCGTCTCCTCCAAGGAGGACCTCGCAGGTATGGCAGCCACTCGAGTGGGAGCAGGGCCCTCGTGGCCCATGCGTGCTGGCAGGGGCGGCCTTGACTGTGGTGCCAAGGGCAGAGCTGTGTTTCCGGGCTGGCAGACTCAGCTGCCCCGCCCACAGCACCCCACGCCAACCTGCGCAGGCTCCTGAGGACTCCGGGGCTCTTATGATGAGGGCGCTGCTGGGCCCTGGCTCCCGGGGAGCCGGGAACCAATAGCCCTAAGGGAAGCAAGCTCAGAGCCCCAAGTTGGGAGCATGTGCAGGGCAGGGAAAACCCCAAGGTCTTCTCTGGGCCCCTGGAGAGGCGCCCCAGGGGCAGATGGCTTCTCCTGGAGCATCAGCTGCATTCACTTCTCTGGGGTCACACAGTGCCCCGTGGTGGTGAAGAGATGGCTTTGAAGTCTGCGCGCTGTGGTTTCCGAGCTCCGTCCCCCACCACTGATCTCCAATGGCCGGCTTCTCCACGTGGGGTGCACATGTGCCCTCCCCTGCAGGGCTGTGGCCACGCCTCCCTGAGTTATACCTCACATACACACACACACACACACACACACACACACACACACACACCGTGGGTCCCCCCCCCCAACTGCTGGCAGGCACTTGGTGGGCATGCGCCTGGCCTTGGCTACACATCCCTGTGACTGGAAAGGTGACCTTTTATCCCTGCTCCAGCCATCCCCGTGACCAGCTGACCTCTGCTGCTGGCTGGGGAACAGCCAGGTTGGGAGTTGGGGATTGGCCCATATTTCCTTCTCCCAGTTAGAACTTGGATCACACCAGCCTGGGTTCCAGACCGCTGTAGTCTTGGGCAAGTCACTTCCTGGGCCTCCGTTTCTTACCTATAATATGGGCATAATAAAAGCCCCATCCCAGGATTGCTGACATGCAAAAACGTAAATGTTCTTCAGCAGGCACCATTGTCAAGTCTGGCCTGCAGTGAGGGCGGGGGGCAGCTGGTCACACTGCTGCCTGGTCTTGTGCCCTTGTGACCTGCTCAAGCCACTCTCTACTCTCTGGGGCCAGGCCAGGAGGCAGTCACCTTTTCGGAGGGCACGGGACCTCAGAGCCTCCGAGAGGGGTGGCAGCCTGTCAGCAGCCATGCCCAGACTCACTCAGTCAGCAGTGTGGCTTCCAGATGCTCAGTCACCGATGCCTGAGACGCAGGCCGGGGCCCTCAGAGGATGCAGCACGAGTCTAAGGCAATGGAGTCTTAGCCCACAGATGGATCAACAGGAAATACTAGCCATTCAAGACTATTTCTTCAGGAAATAATGGCAAAATTCTGGAGCAGAGAGTGGGCTCAAATCCAGAAATGCCCTCTCCTCTGACTACTTCCCAGACTAGTTTGAATAAGAGGCCCCTGCAGCCTTCTCTGTCTAGCACACCTTAACAAGACAACCCAATTCTTGACCAGGTGTCTGCCAAGAAGTGCCCATGGCCATACACTCTTCCTCCTCTCCAGACATCACTCCTCATCCCACGCCGGCCCCCACTGCACCCGCTGCTAGGCAGGAGGGTTGTACACTAGGAGCCAGGAGCCAGGCTAGGGAAACACACTGCTGATTGTGGGCCTCAAGAACTGGGGCCTGGGCAGGAGGGGAGGAGCTGCATCAACTTCCAACCCAAGCGCTCAGGCTGACCCTCTCTCTAATGGAGCCAGTGCCTGGGCGCTGGGACTCAGCCCCTGGCCCAGCCTCCTTGAGGTTCAGCCAGACTTGCCTTCCATCCAATCCACCTCCACCTGGCTCTGTTGTTTATTAGCCACGTGAGACCAGAATCCAGCCAGTTAACTAACTTCCAGCATCAGTCAGAGTCCTGGCAGGAAACCGAACTCTGGATGGCCCACGAGGAGGGACTTTAACGAAGGTGACGTGGGAGCGCGAACGAGTGCTTCGCACAGCATGGCCTCTTGGTAAAGGACGCAGGGAAGAAACAGTGTTACCCAGCCCGGTGAGGGCTGAGTTACAGAGGCCGGTGGGCTTGGCAGGAGCTGTGATCTCAGGGAGCAGGGAAGTGACCCCTCAGCTCTCTCCCTACGCCCTCACTGTCTCCAGAGCCTCCCATGTGCCAAACCCTAATGGGAAACCCAGAGCTGCCTCTCGGAGGCCAGCCTACCAGGGCCCGAGCTGAACACAGATGCCTCCAGGGGCTCAGAACACCCAGCCCACTCGCCAGGCCTCGGTTTCTCCATCTGTAAAGCCAGCGATGATTCCCTCGCAGGGCTGTTGTGGGAGCGTATCTGGATCAGGTGTGGCGCCAGGAGCGCACCCAGCAGGTGGAGCTGTGTTAGGATGATGGCTTGTGGCCATGATTGTTCTCCTGCTTGTGTCACTGAATCAGCCTTCAGGCTTTAGTGAACTGTCACTGCCTCAGGAAGTCTCCTGTTCGAGACCGTCCCCAGCCAGGCCAGGCCTGTCACCGAGTCTGGACCGCAGCTGGTTTTGGTTGGCGCACGGCCACGTCCACCCCTTGACTTGTGGCCTGGGCTGCTTTCCCATGACAGTGGCAGTGTCAAGTGGCGGGGACAGGACCCTGTGGCCTGCAAAGCCTGGCTTCTTCAGCTCCGGTCCTCCCACAGAAGGCTGGACGCCCCGGTTGCACCCCCTTGGGTGCTCTGTGCTTCTCCACGGCCCTCCCCTCTGGTGGTGACACAGTTATGTGCTCTTGTGCCCCAGGTCTGCCTTCTCTGAGGTAAGGACCCCATGGGGAGACCCCTGCGATCCCCCTGGGCTGGCTGTGGGCACCTGGTTCTCCAGGCGATTCCCAGCGATGGCTGGCTGCTGACTCTTGGCACGCCCCTCGGAGAAGTGCTGATGCAGCAGTTTGCACACAGCCCAGCAGCCTGCTCACAGGGATTTTCCAAATCCCTGGCTCCAGCCCTGGAAGCCGTATGTTAGATTTTCATTGACCACCAGAGGATCTGGGAGGGTCTGGAAGGGTCGAGGCACACTCAGGGGTCTGGGCTTTCTACCGCAGCCTCAGATGACAGAATGTGGCGTGTCTGCCACAGGGACAGCCTGGGGGTCCCGAGGTGGGCTGGGACCCGAGGGGCAGCTCCTGGGAGGCCTTCCGGGTCTGGCAGTCAGACTGGGCTGCGTGGCAGGAGCCCGACCAGACCCGGGGACAGGAATGTGCCTCTTCCAGTCCCAGAAATGGGAGGAACACAGCCTCCCTCGGCTCCTCAGGAGGAGGGTTTGAGCCACAGCTCTGGACTGTCTTTTTAGCACTGGAGCACCCCCATACCTGCCAAGGAAAGACCCCAAGATGTGTTCGTTCATTCATTCACTCACTCAGGCCTTACCTGCCAAGGACCTACTGTGGGCCAGGCACTCACCATGAGGCTTAGGATTAGGAGCTAGATACCCAGTGGGATTGGATGGGTATCCAGTGGGACATGGCAAAGACCTGCCCACTGGCAAAGACCTGGCCCACTTACCAGTTCGTGGGAGAGACTGGCAGCGGAAGTCACAGGGAGCAAGGTATGCACAGGGTCAAGTTGCTGAAGGAGGCCAGCATGACCAAGACCAAAATGGCCGGCGGGCACTCTGGCGCTTCTCTGCAGCTGCGCCCGCCTCTGTGGTCTGGGCCTCTCTGTCAGAATAGGGCTCATTGGGACGTGCCTGCGTCTGTACCAGCCGCTGCTCAGAGCAGCCCCTCCTTGCCCTGGGCAGCAGCCGCACGACGTTTCCACACCAACAAGCAGACAGACTGTGAGAAAGGAAACAGAGAAACCTTCTCAGTTTCTGGTCTGGGCAGAAAGAAGGCCAGGAATGCCACGTCTTCAACTCCCCTCATATGTAATGTTTAGTTTATATAAATGAACTAATATTTTCCTGGAGAGCAGAAATCATAAAGAACGTTGACCCCCCAAAAGGGCAAGCGTGCCTGTGTGTGCCTTGGACCCAGTGAAGACATTTCCAGATGGAAGTCGCCCCTCCTCACGTGGCTGAACCCACGGACGGGTTTTCTCTGAAGATTCCATGGCAGCAAAACAGGTCCTGGAGCAATCTCCGCCTGGGCCTCGGGTTTCCGGGCTCTCACCTTTGGGACTTCTCTATGACACACATTTCCGTCTTCCTTGTTTTACTGCCTGATGGCAGAAGCTCTGCTCTGGGGCTGGGCAGACCTGAGTTCAAAGCCCAGCAGCTCTCAGCTGAGCACTCTGGGCAGCCAGCCTCATTCCTCTGAACTTTGGTTTTCCAGTTGGTGAATCTGCAACAGGAATCAATCCTTCAGGTCGGCTCACTTCACAAAGCTGAGACTGTGCCAGAAAAGCCCTCAGCTCCGTGCCTGGCACACGCTTCCCACAGGAATGTGGGCCATGGCTGCAGAGGCAGGCTCCTGTCCCACCAGGAGGGACAGTGGGGCACAGCCGACAGAGCACTGGACAGACAGAGGAGCTCACTTCAGCTCCAAACTACCATGCGTCTGCCGAGCCAGCCGCCACCTGCAACCCCAGAGCCCGATGGTCCCAAACCACTACCTCCTTAGATGCCTACGTTCTGCTGGGTCAGGTCAGGTGGGGCACAGAATCCGCGGCCTCACTGAAGACTCAGAGGCTAAGGGGCCTGGAGGCGGGGGGCTTCTGTCACACACCGTTGGCACAGCAGTCACTAAGGCGTGTCTACTCATGGACGACGTAGACCCAGCCAAGCCAGGGAGCAGTGCCAGCGACTGCGGACTTGTGTTAAAGCCACGCCAGCCCATTCATGCTGGGAAACAAAGTCTCAATATTTTAAAAGAAAATCATCATCATCACAGCAATAGTAGCCTCTGCACGAGCTGAGCACTGCTAAGTGCTTCCTTCATGTTCATTTGGGGGCCCTCACACCAACCCTCTGAGCTGGGGCTGGTAGCACCCCCATTCTGTAGGCGACAGTGTGCGGGAAGCTGCCCAGCCCCATCTGACACATGGAGGACAGGACTGAGCCCCGGGCGTCAGGCTGATTGTCAACTGCACCCAGCGTGTGGAGCAGGCAGGATGCCCCG